CTAGTTTAGTAGCACCTTTTCATCTTAGTCATTCTTTCTGGCTCTTACTGGAAGAATCCTAATGATGTCATTGAAAACCTTCCTGAAAATTTTCCAAATGCCACAGTAAATATTTTTTCAGAGATCTGTCTCTTCCTTTCAGTCTTTGGGATGATGTGCTCTCCCCTTGTTTTGAAGAAAAAATTTCAGACCTCCTATAATGTCTTGAAACATTATTCACATTATTTCATCCATCCAGAGTTGCATAAAAATAATACAATGAGTACGTGTGGATCATCCTGCCAAACAAAATTAATTTTTTTTCTCTCATTACTTGTCCTCAAAAGAAGTACCAACTTGGGCTGGGGGATATGGCTCAGTGGTAGAGGGCTTGCCTAATATGTATGAGACCCTGACTTTAAGGACCCTTGTCCTACCATATTGCCAGGTATGGTGATGCACATCTGAAATCCCAGCAACTTGGGAAGGAGGCTGAGACAGGAGGATTGCAAGTTTGAGACCTCAGCAACTTAGTGAGGCTTTAAGCAACTTTAGAAGACCTTGATCTCAAAAAAAATTTTTTTTAAAGTTCTAGCGGGGGGAAACAAAAAGCTCAGTGGTTAAGTGGTCCTACACTTCAATCATCAACTCAAAAAAAATACATAAAAAAGTACCTCTCTCAGACTCATTAGTGATCAACTTGTGTGTTGATTGCAAATAAGTTGCCTGCTCATGGCCCACTCTTAGTCCATCAGGTCCAAAGGCCGAATCCCCTTTTCAGGTCTATATTGGGAAAGCCCACTATTCAGGACAGGACAGTTGCTCTAGTAGTTCGACCTTAGTTCTGGTGACCCTGCTCTACCTTCAGCATCATCACTACCACCCGCTGCCCCAGACCCAGATTCTCCATCTCTGCCTCCCGGTCCTCAAGCTCCTTCCTCCCGCACTCTTCCTGAATAGCACCTCTCTACTCAATTCTCTTGCTGCACCTTCTGATCATTTGTGGTTTCTGTTGCCTCATGGCTTCTTCTCACTGCCTTCCTTCATACATTTTTCAGTTTTGGGGACTCCCTCTTCTCTGTCTCTCTCAGGTTGTCTCACAGACATATTTCCCATGAGTGAAGATCCATTTAGTTAGTTAGACCATAATAGGGTCTGCTTGAGGACAAGTAATGAGAGAAAAAATTAATTGCATTTGGCGGGATGGTCCACACGTACTCGTGATCATGCAGACAGGGTACCTCTGTTCAGCAGGGCTCTCACCTTCAGCAATCTCATAAGTCTCTGGCTACATGCTTGCCTGTCTGTGGATCAGCTATTAGTTTGTGATGCAGTCAGCTGTGGCCTGTATAATCAGGTTTGTGCTAGGCAGCTATTGCTGTATAAAGAAAACTCCCAGGTCTTAGTAGCATACAAATATAAGCATTTATTTCACTTACCTGTGCATGGATTGGTTGGAGGTGGGCTGATCTTGGCTGGGATCCAACCTGGACCTTTCCTTGAATCTTGCACTTTGTTTTTATCAGTGGGTTAACTCAGGTATGTTCTTCTCATGGCCATGATAGTGGCAAGTGGCAACACATAATACCTCTTCAGGCCTAGGCTCAAAACCAGTATCTTGTTGATTATGCCTACTCTACTTTCTGCCCATATGGCGGGAGGTATATTCTTCCTCTTTCTGAGTTGACAGTGGGCAGGGGAACAACTAAATTTTTTAGCAAAGGACATGGATACAGGGAAGTTGGAGGACTTGCAATGAACAGTTCCATTTTTACTATAGATCACATGATCATATGGCTCTAGGCATGGTGAAACATCTGTATAGAACCCCTCAAAGGAGGCTGTGGAATGAGAGACTGAAGTTTCTCAGGGAGAGGCAAGTTAAAGGACACTGTTTGCAATATTTAAAAGTAACCACTGGGGCTGGGGATATAGCTCCGTAGTAGAGCACTTACCTAGCTGGGTTCAATCCTCAGCAACACACACACACACACACACACATACACATACACACACATACACATACACACACTCACAAGAGATAATAATAATAAATAAAAATAACTGCTATTCAGATTTTAAATAGGTCTTCTAAAACACAGGAGAAAGTAAAAACTTTAAAGAAATAGAACAGAAGATATCAGAAGCAGCATGGAAATATTTTAAAAGCATTAAACAAGCCAACATAAGCAAATCCAAATATCAGTTACCACAATAATTGCCTATGAGTCAGAGGCAACCTGTTGGGGAAAGTTCAAAGTATTTTCTTTTTTCAGGCGTCCTCTCATTCAAGAGGACAATTCTTCATAGCTTTCCCCCCCCACCCAGCTTCTCTGTCTTACAAACAGCAAGGATTCCCCTTAGATTCTGGTATACAGGTTAGCAGTAAGTTTCTCCACCATTCATGTCTCTCTAGTGTTTTGAGTGGGCCTTTGGGAGAAGCTATATCAAAAGTCCCCAACTGGCTCCCACTTTCCTTGTGGTACCGCTTTTTAATGCATGCCCTATGAAGTTCTGTGGTGCTTAATGCTATGCTCATTTTTTCCATGGGCACTACCATTTCCTACTTAGGTGTAGGCTAATTCTGTGGGGGCTGCACATTCCTATTTGTGTCTGAGACTAAGCTGGGTCTCGGTCCTAAACTGAGAATCCCCATATGTCTACCACAGGCCTGAATGAATCCAAGGTTTGATGAATTAAATCTCTGTATCAAAAACTATTCTTGGGGCTGGGGATGTGGCTCAAGCGGTAGCACGCTCGCCTGGCATGCGTGCGGCCCGGGTTCGATCCTCAGCACCACATACAAACAAAGATGTTGTGTCTGCCGAGAACTTAAATAAATAAATAAATAAATATTTTTTTAAAAAAAACTATTCTTTACATTGTAGCTGACATAAACACAACCCAAACCGGTTCACATCATCAAAAGGTTCCAAGGACTGCCAGGCACAGTGGCTCACGCCTATAATTCCAGTGGCTCAGGCATGAGGATGGTGAGTTCAAAGTCAGCCTTTGCAACTTAGCTAGGCTATAAGCAACTCGGGAAGATGCTATCTCTAAATAAAATACAAAAAAGGGGGCGTGGGCTGGGGTTGTGGCTCAGCGGTAGAGCACTCGTTTTGCAAGTGTGAGACCCTGGGTTCTATCCTCAGCACCACATAAAAATAAATAAACAAAATAAAGATATTATGTTCATGTATAACTAAAAAAAAAAAAAAGGACTAGAGATGTGGTTCAGTGGTTAAGCACCCCTTAGTTCAATCCCCAGTACAAAAAGAAAAAAGGAAAAAAAAATGGTTTCAAGGAGTGATCAGGCTTCAGACATGGCTGGCCTGCACATTCAAATGAAGTGATTACACCTCACTCTACCTCTCAATTGTTCTCTCCTCTGGATTGATTTCCTGTGCAAACAGGCAGGCCCTTCCTCATGGTGAAAACAGGCCACCAGCAACCTTAGTGCCTCAAAAAAAACACAACAACAACAACAACAAAAAAAAAAACAATTTCTTTGAACACCACCACAAATAAATTTAAAGATGGATTCTTCACAGAACTGGCTTGGATTGTACAGCAATCATTGAGTCAAACGTTGAGGCCAGAGGATGGAATATTCTAATGTGATGGCAAAACCAGACCTGGTTGTGAAATGAGATTATGAAAACATTACGGTCAGAAACCAATGCCTGGGGAAAGGGTCAGTTCCTCTCCCCTCTCTCAGCATTTCTCCAGGAAGCCTAATTAACCAGGGGCCAAAACCTTTTGGATTGTAAATAATTGTCCTGGAAGTCCTACTACTTCCTCTTGAAATATAGCAGATACCTGTGAAAAGAGCCATTTCTTCTAATCTGTTTCTGTAACCATGCTTGATGTTAGAGACCCTGTACACGCCTTCAGCCACATAGATTAGGAATTTTTTGTTTTTTGTTTTTGTTTTTGTTTTGAGAGAGAGAGAGAGAGAGAGAGAGAGAGAGAGAGAGAGAGAGAGAGTTTTTTTAATACTTATTTTTTAGTTTTCGGTGGACACAACATCTTTATTTTATTTTTATGTGGTGCTGAGGATCGAACCCAGTACCCCGTGCGTGCCAGGCGAGCGCACTACCGCTTGAGCCACATCCCCAGCCCCAAGGAATGTTTTTTAAAAGAGGAAAAAAGTCCCAAAGATAGGAGGGGTCTAAAATGATGCCGAATAACCAGAATAATAATGTTGTTTAAAAAAAAAACAAAACAAAACTGTGGATCAAAACAAAAACAAAAACAAAAACAAAAAACCTCTGGACCAGGGCTCAGAATTTGTTTTCCTCTGGGTGCACTGGCGTAAAAAAAAAGTTTGGAGTTCTCCTTGACTCCCAGTGCTGCTTGCTGCTTCTCCATCAGTCTGTTTCCTGCAACACTAACAAATCAGGCCTCAATATCAAGTTCACCTGAGAAATAGGTAGTAGTCGCAAAAGGAGACGGGATCAAAAAACAAATGTAAAAAATATGAAATAAAAAGACAACTGAAGCCTATCATCTTTTTCATTTCTTTCTAGGAGGAACACTGACCGTGTGACAGATGGAAATGATGAGGCCACTGTACACCTTCTTGTGCTGCCTAGTTTACAAAATACCTCCCTTGTCCTAAGGAATCCTTACAGCCTGCTCAGGAGAAAAGTGGTATATCACTCTACCCTTTATAGAGATGAGGCAATTGTGACTTAAAGACATGAGATGGCTTGGTCAAGTCTTCAAACAGGTTAAGGAATCAAAGAAAGGACTATGGAGAGGTGTGCTCAGAAATAGAAGAAACTGATACCAGGCAACTTCCAAAGGTGTGACTACTTCCCCCAACTGCTCCATCACTGCCTTCTCCCCGTCATCTCACCAGCTGCAGCCCCAAAGCCTCCACCACCTCGGGGCCTCTCTCCCTTATCATCCTAATCCTGCCAGTTTCTACCACACCTCTTCTCTGACCTTTGCTCACACTCCAGCCTGTTTTCCTTTGGACCCAGGAACCTCCGGCTCACTTTCACTCACTGCCCGCCATGTGCACGGGGAAGTGTTCCCGCTGTGTGGGGCTCTCTCTAATATCTCTTTCCCTAGTCTGTATTGTGGCCAATGCTCTCCTATTGGTGCCTGATGGGAAGACCTGGAGCACTAACCAACTCAGCTTGCAAGTCTTGCTCATGGCCGGCTTCATCGGCGGGGGATTGATGGTGAGAATAAAGCATAAGCCAGTGGCCAGGGGCCTGGGCACCACTGTAAGGGGTTCTGAGTGGGAATCAAGGGGAGAGGAAAAAGGATGGTGCTTCAGAGGGGATGGCAAGTGCTTGGTGGGGACAAGGAATGTGCCCAGTCCTTCCCCTACACACTCAGCACTCTGTAGATAGCCCTAGAGGAGCCCCCAAAGACCTGAGCTAAATGCCTGAAGGGAATGGGAAGGCAGGGAGGGGAGACTCAAGTCTCTAAAGAGCTTCCCTTCTGGGTCAAACATGTCCCACCTGACCCTCCCAGCCTCTGCGGCTGAGCAGATGTTGGGGACCTCTCACCACAAGGGTAGAACAAGAAGGAGCAGCTAGTTGTGTGGGAGGTTATCAGGACAGGGTAATAATAGGTATGAGGGGTACAGCAAAAAGGTCTGGAGTCAGGCAGTGATGTCACCCATCAGTCACAATACCTATCAGCTCAGTGTTGCCCTTCCCTCCTCCACATCCACTCTCTCTCAGCCCACATTCTGGATGCCCACTCTGTGCTGGGTACTAAGGGTAAACTCAGAAGCAGGTCAGTAGGGCAGAGAAGTTGCCCCCAAGGCTTCCTGGAGATGAGGACCCACAGGGAGAAGTGGAGGAAGAGGGGACACAGATTTCCTGGATCTACTCCTCTCTTTCCTCATTTAGAGGAAGCTTTAGATGGTCAACTAGTGTCATATTTTTGTGGGGTAAAGATGAGACATCTACCCAGCATAGGTTCCCTCTTTTCAGGACAGCTGACTGACAACTTTCTCTAGAAGGGGTCTCACCTCATCCCTTTTCCAGGTCACACCTCTATTAGCTAAGTGGGATACCTCTCCTTTACCTAGCAACTCCCTCTTACCTTCTGAGGTCTCTTCTACTCCCCATCTGTTGCATGGATTTATGGCTGATGGACTCTACTCCAGCTCTCTGATCTGAACTTTCTCTGAGATGTCACACTCCCCCAGGTCTACATACTTGCTCAGTGTCACATCATGTCCCTTCTCCACCTAAACTACCCCCCACTTTTCCACCCAGCCTAACTACTCTTCTTCAGGGGTGATCTCCAAGGATGTGCTTCCAATAGTCTCATTCACAGCTGCCCTGGGTTGTTGGAAGGAAGGAAGGAAGGAAGGAAGGAAGGGAGGGAGGGAGGGAGGAAAAGCAAGCTATCATAAAGAGTTCCTAGGGAAGAAGTTGGGGATTTCTGTGTTTTGCTTTTCTTTTTTTGGGGGGGTGGGGGAGCATGCACTGGGAATAAGTTTCTCCCAGGAAGTACCACATGATGCCACAGGGACACAGACAAGATCCCTACTCCCCTTGAAGCTTCTGTTCCTTTGTGGGTCAGATGGTATGAAGGAAGCAAGACCAGAAGCCCCATGAGAGCAAGGGCTGCCTGTTCTGTTGGTTGCTGTGTGCCTGGTGCCTAGACCAGTGCCTTCACCTAACAGGAACTGTGTTAATAGTCACTGAATGAAGGAAGTAGTCTGCAAGATGATTTCAGACAGGAGTGGGTGCCATCAAAAATAAAAATACATAGGGCTGGAGGTGTAGCTCAGAGGTAGAGCACTTACTTAGCATGTGTGAGTCACTGGGTTTGATCCCCAGCACTACTGCAAAGAAGAGAGAGCAAGACAGAGGGAGGGAGTCAGAGAGGGAGAGAAAATACACACATACACACAGAGAGAGAAACAGAGAGGAGACCACAAGCTAACAGGCATGGAAGACATGCCTATAATACCACTTACTCAGAAGGAAGGTAATGCCAGGTGCAGTGACACATGCCTGTAATCCCAGATACTCAGGAGGCTGAGGCAGGAGGATCACAAGTTTGAGACCAACCTGGGCAATAAAAAAATTTAAAAAGGACTGGGATAAACCTCAGTGGAGAGTATCATTGGGTACAATTGCCAGTACCACAAGAAGAGAGAGAGAGAGAGAGAGAGAGAGAGAGAGAGAGAGAGAAGAGGGAGGAGAAGGAGAAGGAGGAGGAGGAGGAGGAGGAGGAGGAGGAGGAGAAGAAGAAGAAGAAATCATAAGTTTGAGTCCATCCTGGAAAAGGTATGAGGTATGTACCCCTCATACCTATTATTACCCTGCCCTGATATATATGGTCGAATATATATATATATATAATCATATATATATAATCATATATATAATCATATATATATATATAATCATATATATATTCGAAATTTTCTCTCTACACACACACACACACACACACACACACGGAGAAAGAAAGAGAGAGTGCACAGTGCATGCCGTGCTGTGGATGTAGCTCAGTGGCACAGTGCCCTGGGTTGTTGGAAGGAAGGAAGGAAAAGAAGGAAGGAAGGAAGGAAGGAAGGAAGGAAGGGAGGGAGGAAGGAAGGAAGGAAGGAAGGAAAAGCAAGTTATCATTAAGAGCTCCTAGGGAAGAAGTTGGGGATTTTTGTTTTGGGTGATTTTTTTGGGGGGGGGGCGGTTATTTGTGGGGGACCCACAATCACTGGGGATTGAACTCAGGGGTTGTGAATGCTAAGTACATGCCCTACATCCCCAACCCCAGCTCAGTGAATTTTTACTAAGCGGACATATCCACATACCCAGCACCCAGATCAAAAAACTGTTAATTCACGCACCTATAGTCCCAGCTACCCAGGAGGCTAAAGCAGGAGGATCTTGAGGCTGAGACTAGGAGTTCCAGGTCAACTTGGATAAAATGGCAAAACCCCATTTCATAAAACAAGTGATTAAAAAAATACAGGTCATTATTACCAGAATCCTTCACATGCCTCTCACCAGGTACTACCCCCACCAACAAGGGTAACCATTATTCTGTCTTCTAACCCCAGAAACTACTTTGACCTCTTCAGTAATATATTTGAAATGAAATCATACACTATGTGTTCTTTTGTGTCTGGCTTCTTTAGCATAATATTTGTGAGAGCCATCTATGTTACTTTGTGTAGCTCTAGTTTTTAATTTCTTATGCATTCTGTCATGTGAACATACTTCAATTTAAATTACACTCTACTGTTGGTGGACATTTGGACAGTTCCCAGTTTGGGTTTTTTGCAAATAATGTTGATATCATCTGTCCTGTAAGTGCCTTAGGTGAACATATGTGTTTATTTCCATTGTTACTCTTAGAAGTAACACTGCTGACTCTTAAGGTTTGCAAATAGCCAGTGCTAACACTGGCAAATAGTTTGCTGGAGTTTTTGTATCAATTCATTCCTATCAGCACAGTGTGAGAGTTCTAGTTGCTCCACACCCCACTGGATTGAAGTAGATCCCTCTGGCATTAGTGTGGAGAATGGACAGCGGGAGCTTAGCCATAGATGCAGAAAGATGAGACTAATGTCATGGAGGGATGACAGTATCTTGAAATAGGCCAGTGGCCATGGTAATAGAGAAAAGTGAGCAGATTTGAGCTATAAACAGTGTTGCCTCCTGAATTTATGATGATAGTTCTCTTTTTATGAAGACAATTAGACGGCAGAGAACAAGAGAGGGAAGTTTAGACCACCAAAGGAAGCAAATACTTTAACCAAAAGTAATAGTCTCAAACAGGTGGGTCATTTGAAATGGGTAAATCTGGGTTGGGGCTGTAACTCAGTGGTAGAGCACTTGCCTAGCATGACAATGCCCTGGATTCGATTTCCAGAAAACACACACACACACACATTAGTAAAACTAGAGACAATTCTAGGTATCTTTGGATCCTGGAAACTCCCAGTAATTGATATCACCAGAGAGGGTAAGAAATGGGGGTTAGCACTGGCCCTGGATCTGCCAGGACATAGGAGGAGGGCAGTGAGAGTGCTGGTGGAAATTTGGTTCTACTCATCATTGCAAATAATCAATGCATTGGTGCTTCTCTGTGGTTGCTGTGAATGATAAAACAGAACTAAAATTCTCAGCCCCTTCCCTGCAAAAGAACAAAACGCTGCCTTGTATGGTGTATGCCAGACAAAACCAACAGGAAGGAAGGATCAAAACAGCCAATGAATTCCAGGGATGGGAGATGAACAAAGTACCTGACCTGGGCTATGAAGACAATGACAAGGCTAAAGGCAGAGTGAGGAGCCTCAAAGGACTTGCTGGGATTCAGTATTGATAGGATCCTCTGTGAAGGACTTGAGCAGAAAGAAAACCAACTGAAGAAGTCCCTGCTCCTGGCGATCAAACCCAGGAGCCCTTTCCCACTGAGCTACAACTCCAGCCCTTTATTTTCTATTTTGAGATAGGGTCTCCATAAGTTGCCATGGCTGGCCTTGAACTTGCACCCACCTGCCTCAGCCTCCTGACCTACTGGTTTACAAGTGTGCACCACCCCACCCTAGCAAAATCAAGTTTAATCTGGTGGTGCATGAAAGATGAAGTGTGCAACAGCATGGGGCAAGAGCTATGGGAATTTAGTAGGGAGGCCGAGAACATCTTCCTCATGGAAACTGATTAGGAACTGAATGGGGAAGAAGGACAAAGGACTGATAGATTCAGGAGCCATTGAAGGAAAACTCAAGAAGACTTGAGGTCTGGCTGGATGCAGAAGGATTAAAGTTTTCCATCATAGGTGACCTGATGGATGATATTTTTCAATCATGAGGATGAGGAAATCAAAGGAAGATTTATTTGGAAAATACTTTGAGGTCACCTGTGAGACTGAATCTGAGCTAAAACCAAGACATTTGAGTGAACTCAGGCAGTTGGGTTTGGATCTCCAGGCATGTGGAGGTGACTATTGGCAGAGGGAGTAGCTGATTCCCTGGGAGGGGATGGACTTTGTGAGAAAAGTCACAGGAAGGAAAAAGATCAGGGGCTGGATCTTAAGAAATCCCACAACCCACATCACAGCATTTGTGAACACACTCTACCATATCCTAGCTCACCAGACCCTCCAACACTACTACCTCTTCCCACTACTGAAGGCATTTATAGCTAAGGAGCATTTACTCTAAAGCAGTCTTGACACCAGGCCCACCAGTTATCTCATTCAATCCTAAGCACAACACTGTGAGTGAGGTAGGTTTACAAATTCATTTTACATTGGACAAAAGTGAGATCCAAAGAAACTAATCAGTTCACGAGTGTGAGATAATGTGTGCCTGGCCCTCAACCCAGGGCCTCCTGATTCCCATTAAGAAAGGCAACTACTATGTGCCAAGATTTATGGGAACTGTTTAATATTGAACCCAACCCTCAAGGAAGCTACAATATGGACAGAGTAAGATAGGGATATAAATAAGGTTTTGTTAAGATAGGCACGCTCCAGGACAGGTAGAGATAAGATCTTTCTATAGTCCAAAGGGTTGAGGACACCATAGGCAGCTTCCATAGGAGGTGAAGATCTTGAGGATCTGGGCTGGGGTGGAGGTTTCACACTATCACACTGATCCTTGTCCCACAGGTGCTGTGTCCAGGAATCGCTGCGGTTCGGGCAGGGGGCAAGGGCTGTTGTGGAACAGGCTGCTGCGGAAATCGCTGCAGGGTGAGATCTAAATTAAAAAGAGAATTGGGCCATGTGTGGTGGTGCACATCTGTAATCCCAGTGACTCTGGAGAATGAGGCAGGAGGATCTCAAGTTTGAGGACAGCCTCAGCAATTTAGCTGGATTCTGTCTCTTCAATAAGAAATAAGAAGGGCTGGGGATGTAGCTCAGTGGTAGAGTACTCCTGATTTCAATCCCCAGTACCCCTTCTCCTTGCAAGAAAAATGAAGGATTTAGGATTAGTTCTCTCTCACAGGGCCACAGCATCCTCTGTAGAATTCCTTACCCTCATGAATTTCTGCTAGCCCTTAGTTTTGCCTAACTCCAAGTCCTGGGTTTTTAGGAAAATGTATTTTCAAGCATTCTTTTATAGGACTGCATCCCCAGCTCTGGGAATCTCTTTTTAACCTGGCTCCAGAGGAATTTGGCCATGGGAGAGGGGTGACAGAGCTAGGCACGGTGGGGCCACGAGTGGGGACGGGGTGGCCCTATTCAGCCCACCTTCCACACCCGGTCCAGATGCTGCGTTCTATCTTCTCCTCAGCCATTGGAATGCTTGGTGCCATCTACTGCCTTGGCGTTTCAGGAGCTGGCCTCCAAACTGGACCCAAATGCTTAGTGGATGACAAGTGGGACTACCATTTCCAAGAAACCGGGTAAGGCTTAGCTTGTGTTCGTGACCCCCAGTCTCTGCATTTCGCCTTTCCCATGCCCTCCCCAGGTGGGCAGGGAAACCTGGGTGCCACCGAGCTTCTGATTTCCCTCCACATGGGTCTAATTAACCCTTTGCAAATCCCAATGGGCGCGTGTACGGGGATGGGGGTGGGGGAGGGGGAAGGAGGGGGCGCCACGTTATCTTCTTTACTCGCTTGACCCCACCTGTCCACAGAGGCGCTTACTTGTTCAACCGTACTCAATGGTATTTGTGCGAGGAGCCACCCAACGTGGTTCTCTGGAATTTGTCGCTTTTCTCGTTGCTGGTGGTTGTCTCGTGTCTGGAGATCGTGCTGTGTGGCATACAGCTGGTGAACGCTACTGTTGGTGTCATTTGTGGCGATTGCAGGAAAAAGGTGAGACAGCGTGAGGTGGAGTTGTGGAGGGACCGGCTTGCTCTTGGCTACGTCCTCACTCACTTTCTCTTTTCCGCAGAGCTCAGCTCACTGAGACTCCACTGATCGCCTGGTTGTACTTACATGCTCCTGGACCCCTGCCTGGCCCCCACAGTCCCTGGCTTGCCTAGAATAAATGGTTTTGAGTCCAACCCCAATCCTCCCTGCTCAGATAATGCCCTAAGCCAGCAGGAGTGTGTGAGAGTCTCCCGAGGATGGTGTTCTCCTGACCCTGTTTGCAGCCCCACCCCCCACCCACACACAAACCTGTTATTTTTTTTTTCACAGTTACTGAGCTATTAAGTTGTGCAGGAAATACAGTGGTAAAGGAGACGGATGATTTCTGTGCTCTCAAAAAACTTGACATTCCAGGGGTGGAAAATGAAATTTTTAAAAGAAAAGGATTATTTCCATTGCATGGTTACTACATTTTATTTGCTAATTTTATTATTGATTTATTTTCACTACTGGAGATAATTGAACCCAGGGCCTCACACATGCCGTGCAAGTGCTTTACCACACTATTGAGCTACATACACCCCCATCCCTTTTTGTTTAATTTTGAGACAAGGACTCACTAAATTGCCAGGCTGGCTCAAACTGGCGATCCTCCTACCTCAGCCTCCAAGTTGCTGGGACACAGTATGCATCAATCACCAGACCTACTTTACCAGCACCTTTTCATCTCAGCCATTCTTTCTGGCTCTTATTTGCAGAATCCTAGTGATGTCGCTGAAAACCTTCCTGAAAAATTCTTCCAAATCCCACAGTAAATATTTCTTCAGAGATCTGTCTCTTTCTTTTAGTCTTTGGGATGATGTGTTTTCCCCTTCTTTTGAAAAAAAATTTCAGAACTCCTATAATGTTTTGAAACATTATTAACATTTCATTCACACTGAGTTGCATAAAAATAATATTATGAGTACCTGTGGACCACCATCCCCACACACGAATAACTTTTTTTCTCTTTACTTGTCCTCAAAAGGGGTACCATCTTGGGCTGGGGATGTGACTCAGTGGTAGAGTGTTTGCCTAGTATGAGTGAGACCTGGCTTGGAGGACCCTTGTCCTCAGACAAAGTACCATCTTGCCAGGTGCAGTGACATATGCCTGTAATGCCAGAAACTTCAGAGAGAGGCTGAAACAGAAGATTGCAAGATTGAGTCCAAACTCAGCAACTTAATGAGGTCCTAAGCAACTTAACAAGGTCCCGTATCAGTTAAAAAGGTCTGGGAATATGGCTCAGTGGTTAAGTGGCCCTAGGTTCAAGCCTCAAATCCAAAAAAAGAGAAGTCTCATCTTTTACAGTCACTAGTGATCAACTTGAAGACAAATGTGTGACCTGCTCAGGGCCCACTCTTAGTCCATCAGGACCCCTCTTCAGTTCTACATTGGGAAGGCCCACTATTCAGGACAGGACAGTTGCTCTTGTAGTTCAATATTAGTTCTGGTGACCCTGCTCTATCTCTCATCATTTTCACCTCCCACCCACACACCCCAGGACCCAGATTCTCCATCTCTGCCTCCCAGTCCACATGCTCCTTCCTCCTGCGCTCTTCCTGAATGGCACCTCTGTATTCAATTCTCCTGTTGCACTTTCTGATCATTTGCGATTCCACTGCCTTGTGGCATTTACTCACTGCCTTCCTTCATACATTTGTTAGTTTGGGGACTCCTTCTCTAATGTCTCTCTCAGGTTGCCTCACAGACATATTTCCCATGAATGAAGATCCAGTTAATTGCTGAGTGATCATGCAGACAGTTACTTCTGTTCAGCAGGGCTCTCCCCTTCAGCAATCTCCTAAGTCTCTGGCAACATGCTTGCCTGACTGCATATCAGCTACTAGTTTGTGACTCAATCAGCTGTGGCCTGCATAATAGGGTCTATGCTAGGCAGCTATTGCTGTGTAAGGAAAACTCCTACACAGTCTTAGTAGCATACAAACACAAGCATTTATTTCACTTATCCGTGCATGGATTGGTTGGAGGTGGGTCGATCTTGGCTGAAATCCAACCTGGACCTCTTCATTGTATATTGCACCTTCTTTTTATCAATGAGTTAACTCAGGCATATTCTTCTCATGGCCATGATAGTGGGAAGTGGCAGTACACAATATCTCTTTGGGCCTAGGCTCAGAACCAGTATCTTGTTGAGTATGCCCACTTTACATTCTGCCCACATAGTGGGAGTTGTATGCTACCTCTTTCTGAGTTGACAGTGGTCAGGGGGACAATTAAATAGCAAAGCAAAGGACATGGATACAGGGAGGTTTAAAAACTTACAATGAACAGTTCCATTTTTACTACAGATCACATGGTCATATGGCTCTAGGCATGGTGAAACATCTGTATAGAACCCCTCAAAGGAGGCTGTGGAATGAGAGTCTGAAGTTTCTCAGGGAGAGGCAAGTTAAAGGATACTGTTTGCAATATTTAAAAGTAACCACTGGGCTGGGGTTATAGCTCAGTAGTAGAGCACTTACCTGGCCCTGTGTTCAATGCCTAGCAACACACACACACACACAAATAATAATAATAGTAATAATAATAACTGCTATCCAGATTTATTATACATAGAAGAATGTAAAAACTTTAAAGAAAAAGTACAGAAGATATCATAAGCAGCATGGAAATACTGTAAAAGCATTAAACAAGCCAACAGAATGAAAACCCAAGTATCAGTTTTCACAGTGATTGCCTGTGAGTCAGAAGCAACCCGTTGGGCAAAGTTCTAAGTATTTTCTTTTTTCCAGTCCCTTCTCACTCAAGAGGTCAAGTCTTCATAGCTTTTCCTCCATCCAGCTTCTCTGTCTCATAAACAGCAAGGATTCCCCTCAGATTCTGGCATTCGGTTTTAGTAGTAAGTTTTCTCCCTTATCCACATCTCTAGTGATTTGAGTGGGCTTTTGAGAGAAGCTATATTAGAGTTCCCTGACTGGCTACCACCTTCCGTGTGGTACCAATTTTAGTTGCATGCCTGTGAAGTCCAGCAATCTTTATGCTACCCTCATCTCTTCCATGGGCACTACCACATCCTACTTGGGTGTAAGCTAATTCTGCAGGGGGCTGAAAACTCCTGTTTGTGCCTGACACTAAGCTGGGTCTCTGTCCTAAACTTGAATCCCTGTAACTCTACCATAGACACTAATGAAGCCAGGGTTTAATGAATTAATCTCTGTATCAAAAACTATTCTTTACCCTGTAGCTGACAGAAACAAAATTCAAACCAATTCACAACAAAATTCAAACCAGTCCACATGCTCCTTCCTCCTGCACTCTTCCTGAATGGCACCTCTCTATTCAATTCTCCTGTTGCACTTTCTGATCATTTGTGATTCTACTGGGTTTATAAATGAATACATGACCAATGTAACTCCACATCATGTTGAACCACAAAAATGGGAAGTTATACTCCATGTATGTACAATATGTCAAATTACCCTCTACTGTCATGTATAACTAAAAAGAACAAATATAAAATTTTTAAAAAAAGGTTCCAAGGAGTATATGGCACATGACTAGATTACCAGCAACTCAAGAAGATGAGGCAGGAAGATTGTGAGTTCAAGGTCAGTCTAAGCAATTTATGTATTCCCTAACAATTCAGCAAGATCTTATGTGTAAATAAAACACACACAAAAAAAGAGAAGAGATATGTGACTCAGTGGTTAAGATCTTCTGGGTTCAATCCCTAATACAAAAAGAAAAATGAGTGGATCCAAAAGAGTGGATCTGCAGATTCAAATGATATCATCACACCTCACTCTGTTTCTCAACTGTTCTTTCCTCTGGATTGACTTCCTGCTCAAACAGGCAGGCCCTATCTCATGGTGAAAACAGGCCACCAGCACCTCAGCACCTTGGAGGGGAAAAAATAAGAATTTCCTTGACCTCACAATGCTGAACAACAACAGCAACACAAATAAATTTTAAAAATGTATTCTTCATGGAACTGGCTTGGAGTGTACAATGATCACTGAGTCAAACATTAAGCCAGAGGATACAATGTTCTAACAAAACAGGCCTCAGTCTCAAGTCTACCCTGAGAAACACAAAAGAAGGGATCAACAAACAAATATCAAGAATATGATATCAAACCAGGCACTATGGTGCATACCTATAATCCCAGCACTTGGGGAGGTGAGGCAGGTGGATCATGAGTTAAAAATCAGCCTCAGCAACTTAGCAAGGCCCTAAGCAACTTAGTGAGAACTTATCTATAAAAAAAATACAAAAAAAGGGCTGGGGATGTGCCCCAGTGGCTAAATGCCCCTGAGTTCAATCCCTGGTACAAAAAAAAAAAAAAAAAAAGTATAAAATAAAAAGAGAACTGAAGCCTGCTGTCACCTTTTTCATTTCTTTCTGGGAGGAACTCTCTCTGTGTGACAGATAGAAATGATGAGGCCGCTGTACATCTCCTCTGTGCTGCCCAGTTTACAGAATACTCTCCTTGTCCTATGGAAGCCTTACAACCAGCTCAGGAGGAACTCTACCCTTTATAGAGATGAGGCAATTGAGACTTAGAGACATGAAATGGCTTGGTCAAGTCTTTAAACAGATAAAGAATAAAAGGGGGACTATGGAGAGTGTGTTCAGAAAAGAGGATAAAGACACTGATACCAGGCAACTTGTAGTGTGTGACTAGCGCCCCTACCTGTTCCATCACCTCACCAGCTGCAACCCCAAAGCCTCCACCACCTCCACCACCTCCACAGGGCCTCTCTCCCTTATCACCTTGATCCTGCCAGTTTCTACCACACCTCTTCTCTGACCTTTACTCATGCTCCAACTTGTTTTTTTCTGAACCCAAAAACCTCAAACTCACTTTCACTCACTGACTTGTCATGTGTGCCCACTGTGTGGGGCTCTCCCTAATACCTCTTTCCTTAGTCTGCATTGTAGAAAATGTCCTCCTATTGGTGCCTGATGGGAAGACCTGGAGCACTGACCAACTCAGCTTGCATGTCTTGCTCATGCCTGGTTTCATTGGGGGGGATTGATGGTGAGGAGTCTAGAGCACAGGCTGGTGACCTGCCTGGGCACCACTGTAAGGGG